TGCGGGCCGAAGGCTGAGACCTATTTCGTGGAAGCAGTGTGGCATCTTTCTGTTCCTGCATTGACTGGCAACCTTTGCCTCGGTCTGATCACGTTCAGACTTTTTCCTTCCGGGGTTATCACGATGGGTTTTTTTTAGTAATATTTGCGTTGATTTTTCTAAATTAAATTTCTGCATAAGAAAATTTAACGATTTTGGGATTGTCAAATCAGCATTATCTTTGTTCTAATTTTTATTGAAAAGAAAATTATGTCAGGACATTTGATGCCAATGCTAATTAAAATGGAATCATTAAATTATATAATAAAACACTTGTATTTTAGTTTCATATGGGATGCATTCCATTTTTCTGAAAGGACTATTCATCTTCAGTTAGGGTTACAGTATTCCCGTGGGAATTTTTTTAAACTAAATATCATTAATAAATTAATTAGTAGATGAACCAATCAAAAAAATTTAGAATTCGTCAAAGTCGCCGGTCAAACGGGCGACTTATATCCTCGACGGAAATCATATGTTTGATTGGCGGCTTTGAAAGTCGCCTGTTAAACGGACGACTTACATATAAATTAATTTTAAAAAAAAAAAATTGAAAGCATCAACAATTAAATTTTTACAACTGTTGATAAAGAATGGTTTTACAAATATACTATAAAAAGCATCAATAATTAAATTTTTACAACTGTTGATAAGGAATGGTTTTACAGCTGGACTATAAAGAATTGTAAGTTTAATGTGTCTTGAACTATTGATGATGAATAGTTTTACAGTTGTATTATAGATGATTGTAAATTTAATGTGCCTTGAACTTAGAAGTTGTAATGATTAGTCACACTCTATAAGGTGTAAAGCTGGAAGAAGTAGTCATAGTCTATGTGCTGTAAAGTTGTCTTATCAAATCAGTGAGTATTATCAATTAATGTATGAAGGAGTGTGTTGTCATGTCATGTAGACAGCAAAAATATATCTCATTATATGATTATGTTGTTATAGTTCACAACATTCATATGTTCTTCTCATGCTGTATAAGTTGTTGATGCATATGCATTTTAGATGAGTAAAATATATTCCTTGAATCATTAAGTTTTTTTCAAGAGTTGTGTCAACTCATATACATTACTCAGCTGTGTATTTGTCTGTAATTGATAAGATTTGAAGTATCCCAACGAAGCATATGATCAAGAGGTAAGTAGTCGGTTGATGGAAAGTTTGGTGCTCCCTACTAATGACAGCCTTGAAACAAATACAACATCTAATAAAAAATTTAGGTGTATTATGCATTACTGGAGGGAAGATGATGAATGCTTATTATGGCACACACATATTAAAGTTATAAAAATAAAGCTATATAGGGCAGGTAATGATCTTTGAGACGTGGGGTGGAGATATTTACAGCAGAGATTTAGCAAATGCGACAGGCAGTTGGTTTCGCAAGACTATCTGAAGGGCCGAATTCATGAAATCGACTGTGAAAAAGTATGTACTGTTTAGGAGGTTGTTGAAAGGTCGATGCTTGATATAGATTATTGTCTTTTAACCCATACAATGAATAGTTTTTAGATTCTTATAAGAAGCTGATGGGAGGTGCTGCATAAGTAAAAAAAGAAGGAATTTTTGAATGGAGTATATTGACAGTATATTCAACGTGATTTTGAGTATAATTTCAAATGTTGTCCAATTCAAAAACAACACCAAGTTCGTGTGTGTTACCTAATTAGGAATATGTAAGCTTATGTTGATGTACTTGTATTATCTACAAACACATCTACATTACCTAGATAGGAATATGTAAGATTATGCTCCAAGGTATCATTTCTTTTTTCCTTCAAATGTTTATTATTCGTTATGTAGGGTTTTACTCTATTTTGTAATTGTTATTTAATGAATATTAGTTTGATGTAATTTCACTATATTTGATCATGAGTTTTAAAGTTGTTAGTTTTTTCAATTTGTAGCCTTCAAAATAATCATATGTGCACATTTTAACATCATGATGGCATATGTGAACATGTTTAACTGGCAACTTACCTTAAACATAAAGTCGTCTATTTAATGGGAGACTTTGACGAGTTCAAATTTTTTTGGCACTCCTTATTAAGTTAATTAAAAATTAAATGAGGTTTAGTTCAAAAAAAAAACTATTCTAAAACCAAATTAATCAATTAAAGTTCAAGCACAACAACAACACAAAAAAAGAATTGATACATCACCATAAAATACATTAATCAAGCTCTAATTTTGATGTGATAATTTGAATTAAAATTTTTCAAGATTAAATTCCAGCAATTTGAACATTTATTTTTGCAATGTTATAGTAAAAAAAGAAAGTTTTGATGATTGGGTTAGCCTAATGATATCAAAAGTGTTCTAATATGAGTCCAAATGAGCCAAATTTAAATATTTAAAATACAGTTGAAAACTTCATGATACTATTTAAAGGATCAAAGAATCTCCAAATTGTCATGCTTACATTCAAAATATGCATCTCGGCAATAGGAATCCAACAAATTCAACATTACTCAATTTAATATCATAAAATACCAAAATGCTTTAAAAAATAGTCTTTAGCCACCTAAATGAGTGTTTGTGAACTTTGGCCAAAATAACTAAAAAGCTACTCCAACGAAATCATAAGTAAACTGCATTATCCATATAAATGAATCTAAAATTGGAGAAATCTTAGAGGTCATAGAAATTTAAAGCTCTACTTGCAACTAGTATTGACAATAATCACAAATAGTCATCATTGGATGATTGTCATTGCATAAATATCATTGTTGATTTGTCATTGTCAGATTATAGTCACATGATATTTTTGTCAAACCATTAGTATTGCCTCACTATCATTAATTGACCGTACGTCATCACTGAACTTTCATGTACTAACCATCACCTTCAGACAATGACACTAAAATGAATTAACTGCATTCATCTCTTGATTACAGTTATCACATTTTACAACTTCTTGATAATTCTCCATCACATTCACATGAGGTCAAGCAAGTTATTCATGCCTTGTAAGCTCATCTTCTCTAATTGAAAGGAAGAGTAAATTCTTATAAATTTTATTATTTTTATGTGAGTAAACTCTTATGATTTTTCCCGTTTTAATTTTCAACATTAAAAAAAAAACCTTCCTGGCTCCCTTTGGGGTGATTTGTTGACCAATATACATAATATTATAACTAGCCTTAAAAGATTTTAATTATCCTAAAAAGGTTGTTTGAATGAAAATTAAAAACTAGGAGGCAGTGTAAAGTAAGATTTTAAGTTGTAGTTAACTTTTTTTCCTTGGTTATGATTAGGCTCAATAGTAGAAGATAGACGTTGGAACACTCAAGGGAGATGCACACAAGTAAGGGAACTCACAAAGATGCTTTGGTTGAGTCTAAGAGATACTAGTTTAGTGTAATGAACTTAACTTTTTTTTTTTTTAAAGAGTTCTACATGGGCTTAGATAAAAGGGAGAGGATTCTTAGTGTCAATCTATTATGTTTTGCTATAATTAAGAAAACAAATCTTTGGATATAGCATGGAAAATAGAAAAGATAAACTATTTATTTGGGAAAATGAATATAATGCAAAATTTGGTATTTAGTTAGTCATTTGAAGAAAAAAAATCAAATTAGGTGTATCAATTAATGTTGATCTATGCTTGACTAACCAAGAGTCTATGGGCAAGCTAAGGAAAGGCCTTGCAAGGTCAACTAAGCTTTAGTTAGATTTATTTTGGGTAAGTTGGCCAAATTGGTTAAATGGTCAAGTTGGGTCTAAACTATTGAGATAGTTGTTACTTAGTTCTTGTTGTTCATATTCTTGCAACTTGTATGTTTTTAATGATTCCAAATATTATTGCTTTGATTAGTATTTCTTCTAACATATTTTGCAAAAATTATTTTGCTCTCATGTATACTAATATTCAGGAAAATCATACTCCAGATTATTGAAGACTTCAAATCAGATCAGTTTAAGGTTTATTGTAAATGAAATTTACTTTTTTTATTTTATTGAGTCTAAGAGAGTGTGATTATAATTAAGTAACTGTGCACACACATACTGGAGGAGAATTTAAAATCTAAAATTTTTAAGCTGATTGTACTGTACAATTTGTTTGTACTGTACAATTTGTTTTCGTACGAATGATATGATCAACTAATTTCCCTTTCGAGCAGTCAAACGAACAGAAATGAAAATTTTTCTAAGTATTAATCGTACTTTATGATTGCATTTCATATATGCCTTCCAGAGTACGAAATGGACGGATTCGTGATAGCGCAAAACAATTTTTTCTAAGTAGGGATCGTACTGTACGATCATAGTTCATACATGCCTTCTAGAGTACGAAATTGTGAGGTCCCTTTTCGTCCCAACTTTTTGTCCAGATGAATTTGAAAAATTTCAAAACTGTTCGTATAACATTAGAATTGTTACATCTTTTAATTGTCACTCATTTGATTGAGATATATTTTAACATCTTAGTTCTTCAATAACATTAGAATTCAATGATTTTAAACTCATTAAATTTATCCCATTTATGTCCTTGTTTTATTTATAAGCAAACAAAAATGAAAGGATATTCCATCTCTTAATTGTCACTGAGAAGTTTATAATTATGATTCTAAGCTTTTAATTTAAAATTACCCTTTTAGATGTTTATCAATGCACCACTATTGTTGTAACTAAGGGTTTATTTGGAACTGTTTTTTCATTGCTTTTTAAAATAACTTTCTAGTATAAAAATTTCTTAGAAATTTTTAACTAAAAAATTATTTTGAAAAGCATTAAGAAAAATGTCTCAAATAAAATCTAAATTTACCACATCAAATTAGACTGCATTAGTAAGATAATAAACTCATTAAATTGAGTTCATACAGTCTCGAAATTAATGATGAATTTGTGGTCCCCCAAACATTTAATTGCACAAAGATTCAAAATATATATTAAAATTTTAGCTTGATGAGCTAAATTTTCGTTTATATACATCATATTACAGCAAATTACGTCGCCTTAAATGGTCTCCGATCTGAGCCGAAGCATGAGCGTGCAGAACTCGCTGTAGTCCAATACTCCATCTCCGTTCAAATCCCCCATTCTGAGCATCTCCACAGCCTGCTCCTCCCCCAACTCACCAAGTCCGAGTCTGCGGGCGTTCTTCTTCAAGCTCTCAAGCGTAATCAGTCCTCGCTCATCATCTACCAGGTGATAGAACCCCTTACAAAGCTCCTCCAATAGCCCGTTAGTGCCGAGTCTCTTAGCCATCGAGGGCAAGAAGTCTACGAATCCGGGCATGTATTCCTGATTCGCCATTAATATAGGTTTAAATATATTAATTGCTGCTTCAGTCGCAGGCTAGAGAATGGATTAATAGTCCTGTTCCTGAATGGATTTGCGTTTGATCTCCAATATATAGTTTTTTTTGATGAGAATGTTGGTGATTAGAGGAGCTGAAGCCTGAGAACTATTTCGTGGAAGCAGCATGACGTTTTCCGTTCGATCTTTGGCTAGTTACGTATATCTTTGTGTGATCCAGTTGAGACTTTTTCTTTTCGGGACTATTACGTTGGACATTCGAGTCCGGAATTCGGCACAGGATTGCAGGAAGCCTCTTCTGACTCGATCTCTCTTTCGATCTGTTGGGTAAGTGAGACGTACTGACCTTTAGTCGCCATTTTTAATAAATATTTGAGTTGAATTTCATAAGTTAATTTTTTTTTAATAAAAATTATTGAACTTGACATTCTCAAATCAGCGTTCTTTCATAGGCCATTTAAGGCAAACACATACAGAACGCATGCACATAGACTCGAATCTTAGACCTCTTAGTTGGAAGTCTTAGCTCTCAACCAATAGGCCAAGGAGAGTTGTGTTTAATTGTGAATGTAATAGCGGAAAGGAATGAAAATCATTATTGCTCCGCTCGAATTGTCATGTATCCTGACGTTAAGCTCAGGTGATGCAGGTCTTGAGACAAGAACTTTGGTTCTTGTGGGATCTATACTACACAAAAATTCGTAATTTCTAGTGGCATTTCCAATGGGTATATGTCCATCGGAAATATCAGTGAATATATTGGCGGTATTTTTGCTGGAAATTTTATGGTGATTTTTCCAGCGGATATACCGATGGTAAGTTTCTGGCGGCCAATCCATCAGACAGGTCATCGGTAATTTTAAGCCGATAAAATTTAGCAGCAAAAATTGCATCTGATTTTTTTTCGACGGAATATCCGCCGGGTTACTTAAACCCAATGATTTGATTCAGGCGGAAATGTCACCGGAGATTTTGTATGATGAAGCCCTATTTTCAGCCATTCATGGTCGTCTGCTCGTATATTCTCCCTTCCTCTTGTTCACAGCTCCAGTTCGTGTGTGTCGTTGTGTGTGGTTCGCCATCGCCGTTTGCTCCGTTTTCCACCTCATCGTACTATAGCCTTCCGCCGTTGTTTGCCACCTCGTCGTGGTGTATCCGTCCGCCGTCTCTCCTGCGATTCCGTGGTATCTCGATAAATTTTCCGCCGTTTTATTTTGTGAAAGAAATTTACTTCTCAAACTTAAAGGATAAGATGACTGTAGGACCTGTAATGATTTATGGCGTAGAATGTTGGCCATTGAAATAGTAGTACACAATTATTTTAAGTGCTGCAGAGGTGAAGATGGCCGAGGATGAGTGGTTTTACTTTTAGGGATAGAAAGAGAGCAGTGCATATACATGAAAAGTTCAGACTACCTCCAATGATAGTTAGGATTAGAAAGAGTCACCTTAGATGGTTTGGTCACATAAAACATTGGTATTCTGATGACCCAGTTATGAGAGTTTGACTCTTAATAGAACACAACGAAGAAAAAAAGATTCATGTTGTCAACCACGGGTGTAAACGAGTCTAGTCGGGTCGAGTTTTTGTACTATCAAGCTCGGATCATTAGTCGGAAAGCGAGCTTGAGTCGAGCTCAAAAGACAAGCTCGAACTCAAGCTTTTCCCACTATTAACGAGCTCGAGCCGGCTCACAAGCTGCTTGATTATGTTTAGATTTCACATTTTTCCCATTTTTCCCGCCCAATTTTTCATTTTGCCGCCTTGTCCGTTATTATTTCAAAAAGTAGAAACACTAGGATTTTTTTTTAACATGAACCTGCAACAGCTTTTTTTTGGGAAAGTAACTAATAGTTCTTTATTCATACTTTTTTAAAACTTCTCTCATATATTAATGAAGATGAGATATAGGTTGTCCTATCATATAGGATGTCCTGTCATATAGGCCTAAATAGGTATAATTTTATTGAATGGGCATCCTTTTTTAAAAACTATCATATAAGCCGAAATAGTTAAAGATAAGATTTTTTTTTAAAATAAAAATATGTTCGCTAATTAATTTAATTAATTAAATAATTTCGAGCTAGCTCGCTAGCTCACGAGCCAAGCCTCAACCCGCTCGAACTCGAGCTTGTTTAATAAATGAGCTCGAGCTCAAGCTCGTGGCTCGATATGCTCGGCTCACGAGCTCGTTATCTAGTCGAGCTCGAGCCGGCTCACGTGCTGACTCGGCTCACTTACACCCCTATTGCCAACCCCACATATGGATAAAGGCTGGATGTTGTTATAATTATTATAATGATAGATTTCTATATAAAAGCTCCATGTCAATGCCATTAATGTCAAGAGAAATGCGTATTCTAGGTTGATTTACAAATCATTTCAAATTCTATCCATGCATACTCTAGGTTGATTTGCAAATCCATATAAATTCTATGCATGTGTAGGATACACCTCTAATAATTTCATATTATGTATGTGTAGAATAATTCTTCATGTTATGGATAATACGACTAAAAAAAGTTGGATGTATAACAATTTGATGAAAGAATAAAATATATTAACAAATGAGTTCATTAATTACATGTAGTGTTAGCAGTTCTCCGGTTCATCACAATGAGAGGATTACCTCCCAAGTAGTTCAAGGTGTCAAGTGGTATCAAAACCGGCAAGATGCCACCTCGACGCAACAAGCAACGACCAGTTCAAGAGATTGTGATCGAAGAGCTGCAACAAGAAATTGCCCAATTACAACAACTTCTTGCAAGATGTGAGCAAGGGGAAGTTGCAAGATGACTTGAAGTGGAAGAAGACATCAGTCCCTTCCATCAAGAAAGTTCAAGTGAGGAAGAAACAAGAAGGCAACAACAGCACAGGGGAATTGGCAAGAGACCTCCAACTGATTGCGGAATCAAGATCGATCTTCTGATTTTGATGGTGGAATGAATCCTGATGAATTTATCAATTGGTTGTATATTGTTGAGAGACTTCTTGAATTCAAGAAGGTACCAGCTGATCGAGTTGTCAAATATATGGCAATAAAGTTAAAAAGAAATGACTTTCTATGGTGGGAAAACTTGAAAAGAAACCGGAACAGAGAAGGAAGAAGCAAGATCACAACATGGGACAAAATGAAGAAATTCTTACAACGAAAGCATATCCCTGACCAATACCAACAAGATTTGTTCTTACAATTCACACAATTACAACAACAATTGCTAGTGGAAGAATATGTTGCTGCATTTGAGCAATATTCTCTCAAATGTGGCCTCATAGAACCTGAAGAAAATACTTCAGCTCGATTCTTGGGAGGTTTACAACCAGCAATCTCAAATGTGGTCCAGTTACAGCTTTATTGGACCTTCCAAGATGAGGTAATTTTGGCACTTAAGGTAGAAAAACAGCAGCATCGTTTCAAGAAATCAGTTGAGAAGTCTTCAATGCAAGATTCAGTTACGAAGAAGCTAACCTTGTGTCCATCCAAACCACCAAGCCTCAACAGTCGAACACAAGAAGACTCTATTCCACGACGAGGAATGCAAAATGGGCCATCCCAATTGATATTTCCTGCTCGTAAATGCTTCAAATGTCAAGGATATGAGCATATTGCCGTGCATTGTCTAAACCACAGGACTGTCTGACTCATCGAAGAACTATAAATTGAAAACTCTTTCCTTGATGGAATAGCCAAGGCTACTGAATTGGAACCAACATATATGTCCGCTGACGAAGGACAGTTGTGGTCCTTAGACATATCTTGAATGCCTCGTTAAGGCGATTTTTGGCCCCATCACAATATTTTCAAAACAAGATGTACGGTGAAAAGGAGGATTTGCCAAGTTATTATTGATTTCGGAAGTTGCAAAAATGTGGTCGCTGCCACTATGGTTGATAAGCTTCAATTGGACACTACGGACCATCTACATCCTTACACCTTATCATGGATTCAAAAAAATAAAGAAGTACAGGTTTGTAAAAAGTATTTTTTGAATTTCTCAATTGGCCAGTTTGGAGATCAAGTTTTGTGCAATGTTACCAATGGATGCTTGCCATTTGCTATTGGGTCGACCTCGACAATATGACCGAAAAACAATACATGATGGAGCTGCAAACAATTACTCTTTCTTACTCTAAGGTAAATAGTTGGTTCTCATGCCGTCACAAGCATTTATAGAAGAGGAGATCAAAAAACAAAATTTATTGAACAAATCCTTATTCATCCGGGAGCTGCAGTCCGCTCTAGAAGCCTACTTACTGATGCTAATGGAAGAGAATGAGAGTTGATCATGAGTTCTTGAAGCTGTCCAGCCTCTACTATAGCAATATTGCGATGTTTTTGTTGAAGAAATTCCTTATGGTCTACCTCCTGTCCAAGATATTCAACATATAATAGATTTAATTCAGGAGCTGTGCTACCTAACCGACCAGCTTATTCCTCCAACCACATGAACATGAGGAATTGTCAGGCTAAGTAGATGAGTTGTTGGACAAAGGCTTTGTGCGAGCTAGTATAAGTCCTTGCACCATGTCGGCTCTTCTTGTTCCCAAAAAAGATGGGACCTTCCGGATGTGCATTGACAGTAAATCTATTAACAAAATTATGGTGAAATATCGCTTTCCAATTCCTCGTGTTGATGATATTTTTGATCAATTACATGGGAGTGTCATTTTTTCTAAGATCGAATTGTGCACACCAAATCAGAGTGCATCCCAGGGAAAGTGGAAAACTTTTAAAACGCAAAATGATTTGTTTGAGTGGACCGGCATGCAATTCAGGTTATCAAATGCCCCAAGCACTTTTATGAGTCTCATGACATAAATATTTCAGCCTTCTTTGTGTAAGTTTGTAGTAATATATTTTGACGATATTTTGGTATATAGCTAAACTTTGGAAGAACACTTAACAGCACTTGAAGCAGGTTTTCAACATCCTACAAGAACAATGGTTGTTTGCCAGCACAAGGAAATGTCATTTCCTTAACTAAAGAGATCGCTTTTTTAGGATTTATAATTTCTGCAACAGGAATCGAGATTGATCCAGAAAAGATCGCATCCATTGTCCAATGGCCAAGACCCAATCCTTCACCGATGTTCGCCAATTCCATGGGCTGGCATGTTCCTATAGATGGTTCATTAAAAATTTCAGCACTATAGCTGCTTCATTGACTGAATTACTCAAATCTAAACAGTTTGAATGGAATTTGGTTGCTCAAACCAGATGTGAACGACTAAAGGAGCAGGTCTCGACAGCACCTGTCTTAGCTCTACCCAACTTTAATCAAAATTTTGAAGTAGAATGTGACAGCTTCCAATGTGGACATTAGGGTTGTCTTAGCCAAGTAGGTCATCCGATTGCTTTCTACTGCGAAAA